AGTTAAAACAAATATTAATTGATTTTATAGTGACTATGTCTCATCCATAAATCTTTTATAGAAATTTTAGCTGCTTTAGAAAATGATTAACTATCCTTTTGTTTGAATCTTCAATTTTTTGCAACATAAGAGGTTATGAAAATGAACTCCAAGTTATCACAATAATTTCATCATAGATTAAAGTTTAATTTACAATTTATCCATTATCTTAAAATTAAAGGACTGGAAAATAAAATGAAATCTAATAGTTAGATCCATCCAAATTGCTTATTTCTAAGTTTCTGATATACTTTTTCACTATTCTTTAATTATCGAATGGTTATCTTGATTGAGTAAAATGCACATTCTGATGGTATCGTTTAACCAAAGTATTCTTTAATTGGAATTGGGATTGACCCATTATTTAAGCGATTATATTATTAAATTTGATATTTAGACAAATTTATCATAAAAGCCATATCAAATTTCGATGAATTGATCATGAAAACAATATTTGCCTTAAATTCAAGATCTGATTTTAATAGAAAACTCTTAATTGTTAAAAGAAATATTTACTAATTAATTTTTCATTTATATATCATAACTTATCATGGAATATCTTCTTTTACTTGTGAAACTTTAACAATACTAACCATAGAGTTTATGATTAACATCATCTTCAAGTTTTACAGAATGTTCACTTGAGTATAAACCACATCCAGCCCATCACGGCTTTACCCCATAAACTACATTTATACAATCATTTTAAATTCTTATAGCTATTTCAAAGATCACCTAATTTTATCTTCCATAACTAAATCATTCTTCATAACTTCTTCTCCAATGAATCCTTCTCAACCTCCTAGCTATTACAGTTATTCATTGGATTATTTCAAGAAGAAATCGTATCTCTAATTTAATCATCAATATAAGGTTAATTTGGGATAGTTTACCATAAAGTGTTTAAAATCATAAGGATTTGATTTATACCTTACCTTGATCTATTTAGTGCTGAAGATATGAAAATTGTTATGTAATAGCATCTACTTCAAAAATCAGGCATTTAAATTTCTTAGCGATCGTTTTAGAGATATTCATCTGAACAATCTTATTTTCCTTAGATTAAAGTAGAGCCTTAAGTTAAGCAATCTTCTTTTTATTGTTCCTCATCATAAATATCACTAATCATCTAAACTAAACCAAAATCATTTTTAATTTGTTTAGAGATTTGTTCTTCAGTTTTTAGAAATTTAACATCCTAAAAATTCCTGTTTGATTCGTTTGGGTACAAGTAATGTCTATTTAAATTGTGGAGAATTTAGATACTTAAGTTAAGGAACTACTGTTTCCATTTATTTATTTTAAATAAAACGCACTTATTTTTAAACTTCTTTCCTTAATTTTAAAACTTTAAAAAGAAATGGTATGGTTTGTCTATCCAAGTCAAAAAGTCATCCGATGTATTTTTTCTATTACTTCTTTACTCTTTATCTTCACCATATAAGTTTGCAAACTTAGTTCTCCAATCACTTGGAAATGAGTGCAGATATATCCTCATTGAAAACATGATCTTGGTGAGTATTTTGATTTCTCCTTTTGTAATAGAAGGAAGGTTGAACTTTTTAACTATAATTTGATCTTAACTTCATGAGTACATTCTTGTTTACTGTCTAGTTTTATCTTGAGTCAAATCTAAGTCAAGGTTGATATCATTCTTAATACTTTTTTAATTAGATATCCATAGATTTTCCTCTTCCAATTTTATCCGTTTATAATGAGATCAATTATTTTCAAATAGCACTTATTCTGAGGAGTATGTAAACACGATGAAATATGATGCAATCATTTTAATATATCAAGCCACCATGGGTTCGAAATTGCATTTAATTAAGTCATAAAATGTAAATATTTATAGTCTGACACATCCAGGAATATTATTACTACCTGTACGATATGTAGAAAAAGATAGAGATTAATGAAATGCAGCTGATTTGTCAACCAAATAATGATAATTTTATTAATTTATCAAATGCTAGAGTTTAGAGTATGCTTGACTTTATTTTAACAGCAACAAGCATCAATAGAATGTCAATAAGAGTTATGATAGAAATCTTATCTTGTTGAAGTCCGTATAATTGGTTGATCAATATGCTTTGAAACTATCAGATATTATTGTGGTAGTATTAAAAATAGCCATCCTCTTGTTGTGAATGCTCGAATTATTAATGTCTTATGTAGATGGGTAATTTCAAGAAATGAAGTTCATGAAGGATCATAATAGGAACTTGAAATATTAGAGAAATTCCTAGCCTTTATCTTTCTCCTACAGAGTTCTAAAAAATATTGTTTTCTGAATGCATCTTTTTAAACATTAGAGAAAAGTCCAACACTGGAAAGAAGTGTATAGAGTAGAACTATAAGAAAGATTAAACACACTTATCAAATATTCTAGTTTATTCGTGTATTTAATTCAACAAAGTAACAAAGTGTTCAAATGTATCCAGGTCAAAAAAGCATAAAAAATTTATGTTTTATATGTAATGATGAATAAAATAAACAGGAATTTTGATAAGTTATAAAGTAATGTTGTTGGAGTAATTCTAGGAGTACTTCGACAAGAAGCATATGAATACCCTTTTAAATGAGTAACACGATAGATATCAAGGCAACTGACCTTCCACAATAGACTCAATACAACTGAATAGTAATCCATTTCTCTTCAGACTTCCAAAGTTTAAGAGAAATTTGAGAGAGCTCCCATAATTTACTTCAATGATAGAGTTTTTTTTCATATAACATGCATAGTATCCTTCTAAGATGCACATTATATGGCTAACCATTTACATGACAAGTAACAGTTATACAGACACTTAGTATAACTTTTAAAAGCTCATCACTTTAAGAGGGAATTAATTATATAATCCTTCTGGAGCACATGCTAAGTATGAGCCTGGAGCTTCTGCTATGGCTGGGTAAATTTAGAAGGATCTTTCATTATTGTTATGTATTATAACAGTCTCCATATGCAAACTGTGATTATCAAGTAATATTACAAAATAATCTAACCAACCAGTGTATGTTAAGATGAGATTTCTAAAATACGAATGTATTGCTTGGAAGTATTGACTTTAAGAGAAGCCATTTATACTGGTAGCAGTGAGGTTCGAATTGAATGACTATACAAACTCATAAGTTATTCATATGCGTTGTTCACTTAAAATATATAATTTGAATAATATAAACCATTTGTGCTAACTCCATTGCAATTCTAGGTTAAACTTAATATACACTAATTAATATAAGAGATACCGTTTTTATTTGTGCAACAAAAAAGAATAATATCACTAACATAACTCTATGCCTCAATTTAACATCAACCATTATTTTTATTGGTACGGTTTACAAAAAATTGGCATTTAGAAAGATGCAGCTATCAAATAAGCGTGGGATTTTTTCCAAAGATCAGTGTAAATTGATAGGCATATGAGATGCTTAACTTATGTAATATATCCACTTAGTGCAAGAGAGTCAGATCATCTTAAACAGAAATAAAGTATAAATCAAGATGTATTATCAGATGATGACAATATGCATAGAGATAGGACAATTGTCAGTGCAAGTGCATTTAGAACTTATTTTAAAGCCTCTATCTATAATAATTTGTAATTGTTATAATATTAAAATAACAAATTAGCATCGCGATGTTAATGCTGCACAAAGTACTAAGGGCAACCGAAAGATACATTAGATATAATAACCTTATACAAGTGCTTGTCCTATTAAAAGTAATGATGTTATTTTTATTTTAATCCAACAATGCAACTTTGTAATAAGGAATCCTGTCACAAATGGTCCTAATAAACTGTACTTTTTAATTAGGCTACTGAATGTGATGATCTTTCCAATAGCTTTATTTTTATGGCATATGAATATGAGCTAGCACTGCATGCTGATAATGAATTTCCATCTCTTTGTCTTATACGTATCGCATGTTTATTCCTTGTGTAAAGCATACTGATTCTACATAGGTAAATTCTAGTTATCAAGATGTTTATCAAATGCATACTCTTTTCAGCAAGGCCAATATCTTTTTACAATTAGTCTAAGTTCAATAAAATAATTGATATTGCAAATACAATTCCATTTTTTAATTTAAGTGGGGATTTAATGCTATAAAATCATTTTTCTCATTTAACATAAATTAAGGAATAATAATTACTTTTGCTCAGCCTTTGATTCATCTGTAATGTAAGGTGTAGGTCAGTAAATCCACTGAATACCTAGTAGTCAAACTATGTTACTCTTTGTACATTTATAATAGCTGAAAAACTTATTCTTTACAAATTATGATACATAAAAATTTTCAGCTATTATGAATGAAATTATTCATCTTGTGCATCCAGAATTGCTCTTAGTTTGAATAACGCGCTGCTTAGCATGAACTACACATATTATGCATATAGGAGTTAATTTTTATTCAGAAAGATATAAAACATGTTCCTTACTAATGATTGTATAAAGATTAAAGTTGATAATAATTAAT